TATATATATATACCGCAAATGAGAGCAAGTCATTACGTAAGTTTGAATGATTACAATGAATAGAAAGTAAAAATAATGTTGGATAGAAACAGAAACTAATAGCTGACCTCTACTTTCATGTTAAAAAGAGAATAAATATGAATGCATGCAAGACTTATGGCAATACTACTGTAAAGTTGTGATGAAGCCGGGCCTTCAGGAGATGAATGTAGAGGGAAATATCTTTGAATATATATATTGTAAAGGCCGAAAGAATGAAGATGCTTGGATGGCGATGATGAATGGGAGATTTCTTTTATTGGTTAGGTTAAAAGCCAACTACTCCAGTTCTTTTGAGATAGGAATGAATTAGGTAGAAAGGTTAGTATGACATAAAGGACTTTGGCATAAGCTGGCAGTGAGAATAGAGGCTCAACAAATTTGGAATTTTACATGAAAATTGTTTATCAGATGAGTAGATTTCCAGGACATCGGAGTTCATTTGCGACATTGTTTAAGCGAGTTTAGATTCATTAATTATAAATGGAAAAATTTGACCTCTTAAACCTATCGACAGAATAAAAAAAAGGTGTGCTGTTGATTGACAATCTAGAGCCGTAAAGCATAGATATAAGCACCATAAGGAAATGTTTTTCGGTTTAATTGTGATGTAAGACCGTTAAGTCAGGCTATAACTTGTCATAATGAGTACATATATAGAGGTGGATTTGGCTACTATTAGCAAAAAGTATAAACTAAATATTATCAAATAAATCAAAACGAAAAAGAATTTAATTTACCGAAACATCGGGCATCTGACGAGCAGCAAACACCGGCGATGCCCAGGCTTGTGTAGTAGGTTGGCCATCAGAACCAATTGAAGTAGCGGTTGTAGCAGTAGGATTTATAGGTACCATCATCAAACCCCCGTTGCCAAGAGTGGCCGCGAATATCTGCTGCTGTGCTTGATTAGGATCTACTCCTGAAATAGTGAATGCAAATTAATAGGGAAAGAAAGGATTAAAAAGTGGCAAGCAAGTTTTTAATAGCAAGATTTCCCCTTAGGATGACATAGATACAGAAAGCACTTGTAGGCAGCATTATAAAGAATAATCTAGAGATTAAATGCAAAAAGCAAAACATGTAATTTGCCATATTGACTTAAAATAAATTATACGCGAGAATGAATATTCCAGTCTTATAACCGCACCTCAAATAACCCTCGATGTGGTAATTAGAAAATGAATTGATAATTAGCAAGTAAACCGAGTTTAACGACCATCATTGAGATGAGAGATTTTCGTTCTCTTTATAAAAGTCTTATCAAGTCCCTTAATTAATAAATAAAAACGAACCAACCTATAAAAGTTATCATCTTAATAGTTAGGACGATGTAGCCACCTAAAGTGTTAAGTATGGAGGAAACCCTGACAGGAGTTGCTCCAATGTAGCAATACTATATGATGGATCAAACTTCAATTAAAGGTGAGTAATTTTTCTCGATGAAACCAAGGACAATCAAGTAGGGAAATCAACTCCCAAAGTTCACCTTCTTTAAGCGCTGTACCATGGCGTAGAGATACTTTAGGTCAAGGATTTGAGAAGCAAAGATAGGATACAGAACTCAATATGAACTAATCATAGGAAAATATAGATAAGATATTACTTTTAAGACAATGGGAAACGAACCTGCACAAAGCCTCTCTTATTCAAAATAAACAATTTTTTTGTCCGGGCTGATCGCTTCTAAAGTTTTCAACCGCAAAGTTTCATAAAACCGCTATACCAAACTGAGAATTTAGGGATTTTTCTGAACAGCATGAAAATATAACTGAGGGAAAAACACAAATCAGTGAATGGTGTGATTAGCACTGTCATAAAAAAACTCACTAATATGAGATTCTACATTTGAAATAATTGCAGAAAGATTTTTACTTCATCCTAGCTGGATGCTAGGATGTAAGCTCATTAAGGGAATCATTAGAGATTGTACAAGAATTACCTCGTACAATAGCTGCAAGAAAGGAGCAAATGAGTAAAAATAGAAATAAATTGTCTCGAAGCACAAAAAGACAAGACGAACTTCATACTAATGCTAAATTAACCGAAAACACATTCTGGATTCTTTCACACAGGTGCCAAACGTCCCAACAGATACAATTAATTTTTCACTCCATAAAACGAAGAACCTTGCAGATCTACACATTCTAAGGCACTTATCTTTTTTCGGCGAAGCGGAAAGCGTTTGTTGAGGTTCTTATTTAGGACCCAGGCTATCCCAGAGATACCTTTAGAAGTAATCAGTCAAATAGTGGAGTCTAGTTTCATACTTTAATAAGCCCAAACCTTGGTAGCGAGAATGCATATTTTTTTCCAGATGGTGCACAGAGACGTATCCGAACGAGTAGGCCTTATTAAAAAATGGATGCCTTAAGCACATTGGAATAAAAGTTTCCCTAGCAAGTCGTGCAAGCACACTTAAAAATTTACATAAGAATTAAGTTAGTGAACTCTACTTCCTTTTATAAATTACTTTTAAGTACGAGAATCCTCAGCCTGAACTGAATCTACAATGCAAATCTTCTCGACAAACATAGCTGAAATATCTTGGTATGCATTCTCTCCTTAACCTACATACGGTACTCTCCCACTCGCACCCCATATAGCTGAGGCTCATCAATTTATCAAGGTTCAAGCAATCATTTCTTACAAGGAAATCGAGGTCTGCACACACTCTAGCTAGTCTATTGAAACGTAGCCACATTCATCATTGCTTCAATCCCACCATCAGCCAGTGTTTAGATCAATCTCTCTACTCGGCCTTCCCATCAGCCATGGCTTCCATAACAGTTTTTAAACCTTTTTATCTTTCCATTTATTTGTTATTCCCATTGCTTATCTAATTACTTGGTCCATACATCGTATCCAAGACAATTATTCTGGACTGGGCCCTAAGTATTGCCTTGCTGGTGACCCCACAAAACCATAATTCGTTCACTCGGCGCCCCTCTTAGATTCCTGAAAATAATTACAGCAAATTCACATTTAAGCTCTTGCAAATAGACTCAACTCCTCTGGGCGCGGCTTGTCTCATCTCTTCCAGTATATTTTTTGCTTTAGCTTGGGGATGCTGATTAATAACTCTATACTTTGGTTGATTTATTTTTATTTGATTTGCAATCCCCCTCTCCGTTTGTGGCTCCATCTTCGCTACTAAGTCCCTTCAGTTTCATCTAATTATGCCGTTTAACTT